AAACACAAAATACTAATATAAAATTTTCTCTCCAAAATAAAATAATAATAAAAAATTGACCAATTATAAATAAAAAGAAAGAAAGAAGGGAGGCATAAAAAAGTGGCAACAACCACGAAATAGACGCATGTCAAGCAGTGGTACGTCTGGTTTGGGTGTCTCCCGTCAAGATGCCTTGTTGATTCGGCACACCAAAAGGGTCGGGTGCCTATCTGCTGCGGTGGTGGCTACACCAATTAATAGCCACAAAAAGCAGTTGCCAACTGGGTCGACACGTAGAGGGCCACGTTCAAGTCAAACGTGTTTCACGCCGTACGGACTAATTACATTTCTTATCTACAGTTCCTCCAGTCATCTCTCGCCACGTACCCCGTGCGGGTCCCTCCTTTGTAAAATCATTTGACTTTATGATAAAATAAATAAAATTAGGAAAATGAAGTGGGAGCACAAGATCTGCGGTTGGCCCAAGTCAATGGAGTCAATCCTGGGGCGGATATTTGGTGGGGCCCTTTTCGGCCGAACCTCCAGCAGCAAAATATTGATGTTTTATTTTTTTTTTCAACTATTATTTCTCAGGCTGAGATACGGAATTAATTGGCGGCTAAGAAGATTAGGTTTTGTATTATTTTGGTGGTTGTTATAAGAAATATTAAAAATAATTAATAATATTTATGTGATGTTGGGATTTCGATTCTGTTTCAGGATACTGTTTTGTACAGGTAGCTATGATGATTACTTTAATTTTGAGAAAGAAAAGGAAAGGAAAAATAAAAAGAAAAAATAAGAGGATTAAATTTCTTAGAACAGAGTAGTTGGGAAATATGAAGGTAAATTAGAATTATTAGGGAGACGTTTGATAGGAGAATTTATATAATAATTTAAATTATGATTTATGGTTTGTTATAGTATTTTTTTTATAAAAAATATACATAAATTAAAAATAATTATAATCTTATGATTTTAATCCATGAACTAAACGTCTTCTAGATAGTTAATAAATAAGGGAGGGAGATTAAAGTCTCGTTTATTAAAGGGTTTTACACACTACGAGCTTGAACTCATAAGTTTAATAGAATTTTTGAGACTCTAAAAAATAAATTTGGGTTAAAATTTTGATAGGACATTTAAACCCATTCATCGTTAAAAATGAGAATCCACCCCCTTAAAGATTTGTTTATTTGAACCCACATGGTTCCCATCTATATTTTTATACACATCCAACAAAGTTTCAAACCTTATATAAGCTCATAAAAGTTCAAACTATTCATGTGCTAAGGTTTTTTTTTTTTAATCTTTTTGTGGGCGTGGTTTTTGCTATAAAAAAAAAAAGGTGTTTTGGGTGTGATTGAGAAGAAGTTTTGGGTGTTTGCGTGTGGTTTAACAGTGAGTCGAAAACCAGGTGCTACGCCTGGGTGGGGCATGGTTAATACCATACTAATTTTGTAGCTTATTTCAAGTGGAAAGGAAAATACTAATGAGGTTAAAATTAAAAAAGAAAGATCGTTATTGGATTATTACCAATACTAAAAAGTTGAAAACACACGTAAGAGACTTTTCTTTTTAACCGCAAATAAGGTTTAAAAGATACCCTAAAGTATAAAGAGACAGAATGGAATCGACCTACGACAATAATAGGGCAATCTCCATCTGATATTCTGTACTCAAAACTCTCACTTCTTGTTCACTTATAGCTACCAAAAATACAAACTAATTAAAATTAAATTAAATAAATAAAGTCGCTCATTAGTTCCATCACTTTGCCACTGCTTTCTACCGTGAAACAACCGCAAACCCATTTCAAACGACGATAAGACATGGTTTATCTAATTCTAAACAATCATCTTAAAATTAAAAAAAAATACCATTAATGCAATAATCCTATGCCACAAATTCTATAATATATATATATATATAATCCTATGCCACAAAATGCTCAATCAAGCAGATGAGGTCGTTTTCAAACACCACTCATAGCTTTTATTCCCAAAGTAAATGCATAATCTAAAACAGAATCGAGCTATAGACTAAAATCCAATACGTGGGCGGCCAAAGATACCCAAACGATCACAAGCTCTAGCCATCACATGACACCCATTTTGATTGATAGCTGAATTCTCATCATTTGGATTCGAATTTTGTATTGTATTTGAGGTCACATGTCCTACTTTGCTCTAATTAATGTATATAATCTTAATTACTCACTTCCTAAATACTCCTAGATCCTGAAATATTTAATTTGAATGCCTTATTTTTATTTTTATTTTTATTTTTATTTTTTGACTTTATTATGATGGATATTAAATGCTTTACAGCTAAACATTAAAGAAAAAAAAAAAAAAAAAGTTTAGCAATCTTTCTATCCAAAGTCTATTAATTTTGAGAAACCCCCTTTGCTTCCGATATGACATTAACTCTAGCTAAATATTCTAAACCGATTATGCGGTGTAGCACTTTTAGTAGCCTTTAATTAGACAACGTCATATTCGTACTCAAGTTAGATTTGCATTGTTTAGAAAAGAAAAAAATATAATAATTATACTAAAACCACGGGTAATTTTAGAAACCATATTTACTAAGGAACTTTTAAAGCATACCAAATCTGTGACATAAAATAGAAAAGGGGTGCACGTGAGAATTAAGAAAAATGTCACCAAGCTATTATCTTATGTTCAAAAATTTAATGGGATAAACTGAAGACGATATTCTCAATGGAAAAAAATAAAATAAAACTAGCAGAAGGCATGTCCAAATAAGTTTGGAGATGCAAAGGTGTGTCTTATGTTGTGTAGATAAATTCATTATGAAGTGAATTGTCGGTATATTTTGATCATCACAACTGAATAGTATCAAAACTGAAATTGATACACAACAACAACAACCTGACCCACCCCACGGGGTTGGGATAAAACTGTGAAGTGGCAAGGAGAAGACAGCAGTCATGTTTAAAATTGATCCAATTTTTATTTTTTACATTTTTTAAAAAAGAAAAAATAAAAACGTTGTTAAAATAATGTTTGGCGTAATAAAAATAAATTTTTTTTTAATTTAGTATAAAATGAGAAAAAAAAAAATGACTTGTAATTATTTTTTATTTTTTATTTTCGTTTTCTCCTCTCTTAAGTAGAGAAAAAGAGAGATAAATATTAATGTATTTTTTTATATAAAAAATAATCTTTTACTAAAATTATAAACGTATTTTTAAAAATAATTTATGTCTGAAATTAAAAATATAATTTTTTTTTTCATATAAAAAATAAAATTATTTTAAAATGAGTTTTAAAAGCATTTAAAATCATTTTTAAACGAATTCTAAACGCTTAGTAATTTGAAAGCGCGTAGAGTCCACGAATCCTAAACGATGTGAAGGGAAGACTAGTTGTCGGAAGAAGTAGAAATCTGGTACTGGCAGTTAGAAAGTTACAGTGGTGTGGTTGCGTGAGGGTCATCCGGTTTGCCATAAACGCGTAAAAGGGCAGAGAACGCGTGGGGAGATTTCATTTTTTATATAGAAAATAATCTTTTACTAAAATTATAAACGCATTTTTAAAAATAATTTATGTCTGAAATTAAAAATATATATATTTTTTTTTTTCATATAAAAAATAAAATTATTTTAAAATAAATTTTAAAAGCATTTAAAATCATTTTTAAACGAATTCTAAACGCTTAGTAATTTGAAAGCGCGTAGAGTCCACGAATCCTAAACGATGTGAAGGGAAGACTAGTTGTCGGAAGAAGTAGAAATCTGGTACTGGCAGTTAGAAAGTTACAGTGGTGTGGTTGCGTGAGGGTCATCCGGTTTGCCATAAACGCGTAAAAGGGCAGAGAACGCGTGGGGAGATTTCATTGGCTGGTTGGTGGTCTAAGCGAACGGTTCAAAGGGAAGGAGGATTGAATATGACGAAAAAAAAGGCGTTGGCTTTATTGTAAGGTCCTGGTGGGTGAAGAGAGAGCGCGCTTAGGCGGCAAAGCAGCCATCCCTCTAGACCAACACAGAGAGAGAGAAAGTGACCCAAACAAAAATGTTTTTTTAAAAAATAAAAAATAAAAACAAGAAAAAACAAGGATCCAAATCACACGGCGAGGTAGCAGATAGTGCATTGCCGACAACTTGTTCAACCGGCTATTACCAGTTTCCTTGACGTGCACACCTGATTCAACGCATTACCTTTAAGTATTAATCGCTTATCACTCCATATATTTAACAAAAATAAACTTGTTTTAAGGAGAACTCTTTTTTTTAAGATAAAAAAAACTTTTCAGAAATATAAATTAATAACGACCTCAAACTATATTAAAGTTTTAGTAGTTAGTGATGCTTAATTTATTTATGAAAGAGTATATTTTATTGTTCTAAAACTGATCCATTTATCAATTGGTTTAGTACCAAAAGAATTGATAATAACGTGAAATTTCAAGAACGTCTTATACTATACGTAAAACCATAGGCAATCTTCTTATTAAAAAAAACTTCATTCCAATCCGTTAAATTACAATTTGGTTTTTTTTTTCAAAGAAAATTAATAATAGTTTGATATAATGTGTAATTACGAAACTTGTCACGGACATTATCCTAATTTTTAATAAAACAAGGGGGGAAAAGGACATAACGGGGGATGGTGGGACACGCGAGGCGGATGGAGAGTGAGGAAAGGGCGGTGGGTGGGATGCATCACCGCACGCAATGAATAGTGGCGTTTACAGCCGTTAGATACTGATAATAATGATGTGCTCTATTATCAAAAAAAAAAATTTTGATGATGCTCTGCCCGCTCGACAGCCCACATGCCACGTAATTCGGGAACTCACAATCCAAATAATAACTATAAAATACATAAAATAATAATAAAATAAATCACATTTACGCTCCTTCATGGGCAGCCGCCCTCTAAGCCCCCCACTCTCTCTCTCTCTCTCTCCTCAGTCAAATCCCTCGTTGACTGCCCACCCCCCTCTTTCTCTCTCCTCTGCCTCCCTCTATATAACCAAACCCCCCGTTTTCCCACACCCCAAACGACCCTACCTCCCAACTCCCACCTCTTATTCCCTCTCTTTTCTCTGCCCAAAGCAAACCAAACACCGTTTTTCCCCTTTTCTCCTTTCATTTTCATTTTTCTATACAATATAAAACAAGCTCTGGGGATTTAATAATTGAAATGGCGCCGAGAGAGAAGATGACCTCCGCCACCGCCGTTAAAGTTAACGGCAACGCGAAGGAGGCGCATTACAGAGGAGTGAGGAAGAGGCCGTGGGGAAGATACGCCGCCGAGATCAGGGACCCCGGCAAGAAGAGCCGCGTCTGGCTCGGCACCTTCGACACCGCTGAGGAAGCCGCCCGAGCCTACGACGCCGCCGCCAGGGAGTTCCGCGGCGTCAAGGCCAAGACCAATTTCCCCCTCCCTTCCTCGGAGAATAATAATAATGCCAACGAGAACATCAACGTCGGCGGCAGTAAGAACCAGAGCCCTAGCCAGAGCAGCACCGTCGAGTCCTCCAGCCGCGAGCCGGCTCTCATGGTCGACTCCTCGCCGCTGGATCTGAACCTCGGCCACGGATTCACCTCCGCCGTCCGATTCCCCTTCCAGCAGGTTCCGGCGGTGGGGACCGTTTTCGGCATGCCGGTGCCGAACAACGTCCTGTATTTCGACGCCGTTGTCCGCGCCGGGTTGCTGCAGAGTCACCAGTATCAACGGCTGAGATTCGATCACCAGGCGGTGAGCGATTTTCGCGCCGGTTCTTTCGCCGGCGGAGTCCAGAGCGATTCCGATTCGTCCTCCGTCATCGATCTGAACCATCACGATCTGCCTCGCCATGGCCGAGTCCTTAATCTCGACCTTAACCTCCCGCCACCGGAAGTTGCGTAGTTTTTTTCCCCCGATCGTAACACAGTCGCCGGAGATCGCCATATTTCGTTTCGGTTTTTTTATTTTTATTTAATTTTTGGAAAATAGAAAAATAGCAAAAAAGAAAGAAAACGCAAAACAAGAAAAAAAGAAGAGGAAATCCTCGATAGCAGAGGGATTAACGCTTTTTATGTGAATACACCGTCGTTAGCTGATCTACTTTTTTTGCAACAAAAGAAACAACCGAGTTTCAGTCTGTTGTTATCAGCTAGAATTCTCTTTTTAAGATGTAATATCTTATTTCGGCAATTTTTTTTTTTTTCCATCAATGAAACTGACACAGAAAATCCCCTATGGTGCTTTGTATTTAATTATTGTCTGTTTTTCATTCAATCAAATTGTTTTCTTCGATTAGTAACAAAATCATTAATTCCATTCGATGATTCTCTCATTTTTGCCGGCAATCTTAGCCGTAATTGGGATTATTCACACGTGCGATCCGTGTCCGTACAATCATCGTACATGTGTTCCGTTATTTGGCGTTTATGCTTGAGCCGACGCTGAGAGCGTACTTCAATTGGAATTCCGTGATAGATCTGCGTTGCCGTTGGTTTAGCCATCGTGTTGGCTCCATTTGTCCCTTGAATCAATTTTGTTGCCTTTTCTTTTTTTCTGAAAAGATTGTTGCCTTTTTTTTCCTTTTTTTTTTTTGCCTTTTCCTTTCTTGTTTCTTATCTGTTTCTGAACATTTCTCTCACTTTGAATAGCTGGAAAAAGGGTGGTTTTTTGGGTCTATGTTGTTAAAGCGTTAAATTAAATTGTAACAATTCCGCTTAACTACCAAAAAAAAATTAAATTCTAACAAGTTATTAATATTTGTAAATATATCATTATGACACGTTTCATAGTTAACAATTTAGAATTCAAACGTAAAGGGAGAGAAGATAACCAATAAATTTCATCTGCCTTCTAGGGGAAAAAAAAAAGATTCTTTTGCTTTTTTTTGTGTTAAATTTATCTGCCTTTTAGGGGTAAAAAAATCGACCAATTTCCTTTGTTTTTTTTTTTTTTTTTTTGTTTCTTTTCAAGGACAGTCGTCGACCGTTTGTTTGTGAGGTTCTTCTTAGCTCTATGTTGTAATTAATTTTCAACCATTCACATTGCCAATTTCCCCTACCAAACGAAATTTTTATTCGTGAAGGTACGTATTATACACGTGATATTATATACATATTTTTACTAAGATTTTATTTTATGTGACCTCATTAATTTGGTTATATAGTATTAAGTAGAGGCGGTGGTATGGGATGATCGCTCCTAAATTCGCCAATAAATGTGTTGGGTAACGTGGCGCGCTCTCATGGCGGTCAAAAGAGGCAATTAAGGCGCGTGAGGGATTATGGGGAGGGCAGTTTTCTGGGCCTGAGACCGAAAGTAATTCCATGTTTGACTGGGTTCGCTTCGAGATTCGAGTTGGGACTGCACGTGATGTACAGCCGTCCGATCTTTGCTTGATTGTAATAAAAAATTAAACTAATTTTTTTTTTTAAAAATCAATATTTTTAAGGGAAAAAAAAAGGAGTTGCTTAGCAACGCGAAAAAGGTGGGACTGGGACAAAGCCGGGACCCACGTGGGAGGCGGGCGCTGCGAGTTAAAAAAAAAAAAAAGGAGGAAGCGCGGCTGCCGCTTTTGGTGGGACCCATGCCCTTTTCTGGTCGTGGATATCTATGCACGAGATTTTTGATTTCCCATTGTTTTACGTATTTTATATGTCAAAACAAAAATATTTAACTAAAATCCATCAATTTCATGGAGCATAGCTAATTCAGCACCAATTTTTGGTTTCTTTCAATCAAAATTGTTGCGTGATTTGGAGTGAAAACTACCCCTCCAATAATAAACGGAGACAAAAAAAAAATTTTAATTAAAAGAAAAGCAATTAGAAGTGAATGTTTACTTAATTTTGCATTTCGCTTTACGTTACAAAAATACAAGTAAAACAACAATCCACTCATGTTCTCGAATCTCTAAACAATTCAGATATTTATTACCTTAAATGTTTGTTTTCCAGACTTGAAACGCCTTTTTCTCAAAATCTTACTAAATTAATAGCTAACAGAAAATCAGATTTAGCCCTTTATCAAAAAAAAAAAAAAAAGATTTAGCGAAATTGAAAACGTGTAGGGCAGGAATATGTGGCGCACCAGCTTTATTATAGTCGTCGGGAAGTGACCATATGCGCAATTTCTCAGCTTTGTTTGTTTGTTTGTTTTGTTTCAAATTTCAATTATAGAGGCGAGGGTAGAAATGGTAATGCAACTTCCAGCTATATTTTATTATTTTTTATTTAAGAAAAAGGCGTAGTACGGCGGAGAGAAGCCGTGAGATAGGGTGACGTGTCGGATAGGGACAGACAGTTACGCCGGCGGGTCGGCTTGTGTTATGTGAAAGCTGCTTGCTGTGTGGGTCCCACCTTCCAAACACACACACACAAATACATAAATAGGCACACACGGAGAGCGGAGAAAGGAGCCTCGTGACGCGCCACTTTTCGGGTCCATGATAAAGGGACCCGCAGAAAATTATTATAAAAAGCAACCGTCAGAATATTTAAAAAGCTTAAAAAAATAATAATAAAAGAAAAAAGAATAAAACTCATGATTCGTAATTCAAATTGAGATATAATTTTATGTGAAAATTTTTTATTATAGTAAAAAAATTAAATGTAATTATTTATGAGAGCTCTTTATTGTAACAAAATTCAAATCGATAAAATGAACAGAACCTAAATGTGTTTAGAATTAGTTTTAAAATGATTTTATTTTAAATAAAATGTTAAAATGAGATTATTTTGAGAATTATTCTGTGACCGATTTTAAAATTGTATTTGGTTGATTTTTTAAGAGATTATTTTGAGTGTAATAAAAATTAAAATTTGTTTATTTATTAATATATTATAATATTATTGATAAGTATTAAAAAATAAAAACAGAAAAATGAGAATAACTTTAAACTGTTTTTTAATTCTTTTATAAAAATTATTATTATTATTTTCATTATTATTTTTATTTTTAAAATATTTACTAAATAAAAATCATTTCATTTTTATTTTTTATTTCTCAAAATACGTTTTAAATGCACACATTATTTTTTAAATTTTAATTTTTTGAGAAAATAATATTTAATATTAGTAGTAGTAGTAAAGTAATAATATTATTATTTTAGTTAGGTGTGGGCGGCTGCTGGCCTTACCTGCATCTTTTTTCGCTGCTAAATTACGCGGTGACCCTAGAAGAGTTTTTTTGAAACGTCTGCTACGGCGCCGTTTCTACATGCCGCTTCTAACGTTAGAGATTTTTTTTTTCCCCCTTTTTCCTTTTTTTATGATAAAATATCTCTAAAAAATATGGTTCTAAAGGAGTCTGAAATGAGGAATTTTAATAACATAACAAGGACAAAAGAATTAAGGAATCTTCTAGGGTATTGAATTTAATATCTGAACTCCTAGGGGAATAATTGGTGAGCGTTTATTTTGTTTTAGTTATAAGTCAGAATTTGAAAGTTTGACAATTTTAGTATGGATGCATTATTATTGTAAGAACCACACAATATCCAAGTTCTTACAATAAGGTCAAACGTATTAAACAGCTTGAAAGATGAAGTGTGCACATATAGCTTTACATGAATCATAGTAATTGTTTCCGCTTACCGTAGGATAAAAAGGGGAAATCCGTACAATACTAGTATGTATGTTGTAGACTTTTAGAAAAAAATTGGTGAAAAATATATACCCAAAAAAGTTGATGGTATATCCGATTAGATTTAATTTTATGTTATGTTGTTGTGTTTTTATTATTAGGAGTTTAGTCTCGGTCGATTTGATTAATCCATTGACTATAATAGTTTTATCTAACGAGTTTTTGTTGCTCTTAATTTTTATGTGTTGAGCGGGGTTTTTCCCTTTAAATTTAGATATTTATACTTTATCTTTGTGTTTTATTCAGCTTTACTGATAGATCCGGTTAATGTTTGTGATTAAATTTCATTATAGGTGGTGTTCACTTGTAATTAATTTGAGTATTTAATTTTATGAAATGAAATTTTTTCAACAAAAAAAAAAAAAAACTGCTGCACGTTTCCCCCACTCCAATCTTCGTTCAAATGTATCTGACACTAACCCGTCTAGGTACATTTACCATTATGTTAATACATTCATACTTCTTTTCTTTAAACTCTACATTCATACTATTGCAATATGTATTACATACTGTCAATTTGTTCAATTCTCAGCACCAACATTAAATTTCTCCTAATTTACTAATTCAAGGAGCCGTTCCATAAACATTTATCCTTTTAGTGTGATTGAAAAAACAAAAGGAAAAATAGAAAAAGAAAGAAAGTTAGTAAATAAATAAATGATAAAAATTAAGACATATAGATGGAATCTTTTCTTTCTTTTTTATTTTTATTTTTATTTTTTTTTTGCTTAATCATATAGATGGAATCTTATAATCGAAGAAGACTTACACTATAAAAAGCCTACTTTATTTCTCGAATTAGTTTATCAACAAATGTTAAATTTGCATATTTGGCATTATTCCCATTTCACAATGAAGAACTTAAGATAGATATTATTGGTAGACAGATTTTCTTGCCCAAAAATAATACGAAGTATACCATATTTGTCGGCGAGTTTCCGGCCACCTTTTAGCAGACCTCTTCTCTGGTAGTGGCATTATTCCCATTTCTCAATGGGTGCTTACACCAATAATATATGCATCTTGCAGTATGCTGCCCCGGGGTTCATTAATGGCTTCTTTCCTTTACCGCTTTTTTACTCGTTTTGCTCTCTTCCTGTATGGAAGCCTTCTCGAGATCAAAAGTACAATTCGTTGTAGCTCATAAATTTTATATTTGTTTTAATTTTTACAGTAAAACCTTTATAAAATAATATTGTTGAGACTAAAAAAAAATATAATTTTAGTGAAATTATTTATTTATCGATAAATAAATAATTTATTAATCTATTGAGTTTTATATTTTAATAACTTGTGACATCTAACTTATACTAACTTGGTACATGTATTATTCTTTTAGCCAAGATTCATGCATGTATGAGGTTGTTATGAGAAAATCGTTGAAGCTACTTTAAAGTGCATGAGTTTAGATTTATACCATTTACTCTTAATTAATATCTTTTTGACTAATATAGTTATTTGACAATCAAGAATAAGGAATAAAAATTCAAACTCATATACTCTAAAGGGTATATTTGTCTTCTTTTTCTATGAGTTATACATAAAAATAAATAAATAAAAAGTGAATGTAGTCAAAATTAATATGTTTACTTATAAAATTTCAAAAGTTGTCATGTATGTAATAAGTGTCATATGCATGTTCATAAAAGCCTAAATATTAATGTAAGTATATCATACATAAAATAGTAATAAGTACAAATATAGACATAAAATGGATGTACGTATTTTTCAAATACAATACCTCGAAGAAGAAAAGAAACTCTTTAATGTGATGAAATCTATATGTCATTTATCTTTTTTTGTAGTTGAATAAATATTAAGTTATATTTTTATTGGACCCTAAAGAATTCCAAAAAAAAAAATGATTATCTTATTTGTTTAACGAGACTATTAATTTATTAAATTAGCTTAAGTCGAAGATTTTATTATTTAATTAAGATATTAATTTATCGAACGTTCATTTATTAAGGTTTTAGTATATTTTTATGTAACAAAGGTGATGTTGATTATAACGTTTTAGTGTTTATGTTTTTATTGTGCAATAATAAAAGTTGTCATCTTACCCTTTTACGATGTTGACACGTCGAGTCTGTTAGGTTTGATCCCATGTGGTTTTATGAGTCATCATAGTGCTATGGGTCTTGTGGTATTGATCAACTGGTGTTTGATGTTATCGATCGACTGTAATAGTTTTGTCAAACGAGTTTTTACCACACTCGATTATTAATGTGTCAATAAGTTTTTTTTTTTTTCATTGGGTCTTGACACTCGTGTTCACCTAGGCGTCTTATTCATTTTCGCTGGTGAATTTAGTTGTTGTTCGTGTTCAAATACCCTTATTTAGATATTTGCGATTATATTAAAGTTTGTGTTCACTTAATTGTTGAATAAAATTTATCCATTCAAAAAACCTAATAACATAACCAAATTTGCAAATAAACACACCACTATGATGAACTCGATGGAACATTGTTTCAAATGTTGTGAAATAGTATAGTTTCATTTTCTTTTGGCATTTGGACATGCTAGAAGTTGTCAAACATTATACATAAAATATATATTTATATATGTATGTATATCACCAAACAATTTATCGCTCAAATTTGCAGAATTTGTTTGAGTATTTTCTTTGAAATGATCTCGAAACTACTATCAAATAAATTTTTATTTTGTTGTTCCACCTATCACACAATGACACCTCAGCATACCTTAAATAATAGTCTGACAGGTAACAAATTTACGTGAATAAATTAACCTTCTTTGCAATATTTTATTTGTAAGAATATTTTCTTCCATGACCTTTATTTTCTTGTAGAAAAAATACGGGGAAAATGAAACACTGGCACATTTCGATGTCACTTATTAAAGGAAATTGACTCTCACGGGGAAAATGAAACTTTTTCGATTCTTATGTCCGTTTATGGGGAGAAATCCTTTTCAAGCAAAAAAGACGGGAAAATGAAAGTGGAGATTGAACGCTAGAGGGCGAAGATAGGAAGCCACTTCTACTCAAGCACGGGGATTCGTTTACGGGATTCGTTTAGTGGGAAGAAGAAGCCGAGGCAATCTCGATTGAAGCCAATTCCAGCCAGTGATTTTTTTTCGTGTTTCAGAATACGGTTAACCAACATGTTAACTAATCGATTACGAGAAATTGGATCGGATTTTGCAGTTTTTTCTTCTGCAGTACCTCGACGTGACATGAGCGTGAAAGGGTAATAAGTTTTATTTTTATAAGGGCTAAAATCATTTATTTCATCACGTTCTCAAAGTTTCAAGCATGAATAGTGGTTTCACCTTTACTTTTCCCTTAATTTTGGGCACGTTTGGAATAACTTATACTTTTACTTTTTAAGAAGTAGAAAAGGAGAAATATAAATTATGATTTTTAATACTAGTGTTTAGATAATGTATGGAAAAGAGTTTTTTTTCATTTTGTTTTTTATTGTTAAAAAAATAATGGAATAAAATGATATGAATAAAATTTTTAATTTATTGTTTACAAATAAAAAGATAAAAAGGTAAATAAAAAAACTTTTTATAAACTCTTTTATTATTAACACTTAGGAAGTGACTTGTACTAAAAGTACTTTTTATGTTTTTATCCAAATAGCTTCAAAAGGAACTTTTAGACTAAATAAAATAAAAGCAGTTTTTTTTTTTAAACCAATCCAAAGAGAACCTTTATTTTCTCTAATGCTAGACTGATTCTTTTTGTATGTTGGAATAATGATGTAGAGATATTTGATTATTAGTAGTCATTTTTATATTTTCATTGTCGTTTGTTTTAGCTTGCTAATTTAATTTTACTTTGTTACTAGTTTATCGTTGGTTTTAATGGTGTTTTGTTATCGTTTTTATAAATGAGTTATAAATAGTTACTTGAGTTATTGTAATAGTAAGATTTGTATATTTTAATAATTGAATTAAAGTTGAGTTCGTTCTTTAATTTAGGAGTTTTCTTCTTTGTGGGACTTCTTTAGATAAATCCAAAATCCTTATCCATTCCGATGCATCAAATAATCTATTTGATGTTAGACTTATTTAATTGGTTTCGGACCTTGGACTTATGATTCTTAGAATTTCGAAGTTTGGTCTTAGCTTTGCTTCTGAATTATGATTAATAATGAATACGAGGAGCATTACTTTTAAGAGAATTGGTATTTGAATACGATACATGCGAAAATTTTAAGTTAATCTACCACTACAATTAAGGAGCCTATGAATTTGGTTGATGATATGGTAATTTGCCATTACTAGTTAATTAAGTTTTAAATTAAGAGAGAATTACTGAATTTATTCTTAAAATGTGTTTAGTAAGAGAGATGGATTGTTGGACGGATAAGGGCGGAAGAATTGAGACGTACAAAGTGAAAAATAACTTTATTTAGGTGAAAAGGTAGGAGGAAGGAGAAAAACGAGGGATGGTGAATCCTTTGAAACCCACAAAAATCAATCCTCCTATTGTTGGATGGATCGTGCTGAGTTAAAAGGAAAAAAAGGGGTGGATTTCTTATAATGATCTTTATCAACTTACTAATTTTCCATAAAGTCGTTAGATATTTAAACATCATTTAGACGTTTGTTTTCTTTTCTTTTGTTATCGTCTATTTTAAGTATAGTGCATAAACGAGTATGTCTTTTTAATATAAAGTATATTTTTTTTGTATCTTTTTTTTTTCATGAACCGAATATATACCGATCTATAAGAATTCTACAATAACAGTGTTTATTACACAATATATGATTTACAAATTATATAAAATATATATAAAAAAGCAATAAAATTTGTGTAATATACTAAAAGAGCACATAATACAAATACAAATTTAACAAAAGATTAGTATGGTAATTTTATCAGTAAAACTAAATCCTTTTCTCCCCATTTTCATCTAATACCAAAAAATGAATGAAAATTCATCATCATTCCGTCATATTATATCAAACAACTTTAAGAGAACTTAAAACCCTTCCCTTTCTTAACACTCCCACTCTCTGATCCTATTCATCATTTGAATATTTTCTTAAGAGTGTATAAATCTTAATATTTACCCATTACTTTTAATTAATGCACTTTTAACTAATATAGTTATTTGACTAAAAGAATATTAATAAAGAATAAAAGGTAAGATCTAGACTCGTGCACTTTAAAAGAATATTTATCATTTTTTCCCTTTAATTAAACTATTTACTCTATCCCATTAACTTAATTGTTTTGTTTCTTGAATCGGTTTTAAATGACTTGTTGCTGGAGTGTTGTAGATTTGATGTTGTTATGTTCTGCATTGCTTCTGCCTTTGCTTATTTATTGTGCGTTTAGTTGGTATATTCGTGTCATAATTTGAATCATAATTCGTGATTTGTTACAGTATTTTTTCTCACAAAAAATACACGTAAATCGAGAATGATTCTGAATCATAATTCTGAATCACTATTTTCTCTCATTTATGTTTATTTTGGGACTTTATTTTGTTTTGTTGGATGCTAAACTAATCTGTTTTGTATGTTGGACTGCTCACATTTGGAGGTTGGAGTTATTTTTATTCATATTGATTGGACTTTGGACATTGGCATTTATGATTTTTAGAATTTGAAATTCGGTCTTGACTCTGTTTATGATTCTACGAATTGTGATTAGAGAATGAGTATTTGAATATGTCACTTATAGGATAAATTCAAGTTTAATTTACTCATAGGTCTCGTTCAGTTCTCCGATTTAAGTTTTAATTTCAGTTTATTATAATAAAAAGTTTTCACAAAAAATCACATTTAATTTTTTTATTATGGTAAAAAACTCTCATAAAAAATTATATCTCAACTCAAATTAAAAATTCGAATCAAGAATTAAATGAGGTCTAAAAACAACATTAATGGATAACTAGATTTCAAAAGTGGTACTCAATCAAATTCATATTCAGAATTGATGTAAATTAATTTTTTAATAACAATCAGAAATAATGATATAGCAGTAAATACGATCTATCAGAATTCTCTTGTTAACTTTACAACTACCTAAGTGCTCATAATTGATGGATTGAGGACGTGAGTAGATCGCTAGTACTTTTTCTTTTTTTTCTCAGCCAAAAAAATTATTTCCCTAGGCCTCGTTCTTTTCGTTGATTCGAATTTAAAATTTGAGTTTTGTTACAGTAAAAAACTCTCAGAAACAGTCACATCTAACTTTTTTGCTACAATAAAAAACTCTCACACAATATTACATATCAATTTAAATTAAAAACTCAAATTAACAAACCGAACGGGTCCTTAATGTCCTACTGCATAATTCTCATTGCAAATTTAAAATTAAAATTCAAACGGTAAAAATATAAATAATCACCAAAGAAAAAAGAAAGAAAAGAAAACCGGGAATTACCGGTCCCGGTGAAGAATTATCGGTTGCGGTTCGTAGATTTTTGTGCCAATTGTCGCAGTAGTGGGTGGAAGGAAAGAGAGAAAAAAAGAAGCCGAAGCTGAATCTCGGCGGAGGATGTTTTGCGGCGGAGCAGAGGGTTACCTTTAGTATTTAGAGAAAGAAAGAGAAAGAGAAAGAGAGAGAGAATATAAATGGGAAGAATCTTTCTTGTCGAATTGGAGGGCAGAGCCTACAGATGCAAACTCTGCGATTCCCCTCTTGCCCTCGCCGACGAGGTCCTCTCACGGGTAATCGGTTATTATTTTTTTCCTTTAGAAACTTCGAATTTTCGATTTAATTGGCAGTCTCAGACCCAGAGATTATTGAATTCTTTGCTTTGGATCGGTTCGAAAATCAGAAACTGTGGAATTGTGTGCATAAAATGGTTTTGCTCTAGAGTTTAGGGTTATAAAATTGTTGGAATTGGTGGATAAGAAAAGCGAGTCTTTTAAAATGGTTCGGTTGAATTTTGGCAAATGATCGAGCATGATTGGAGAAGAAATTTGAGGTTTCTTTTGGTGTAATGAAGTGTGTTCCAAACTTTTGGGAAGAAAGCCTGTACTTTGAACTTAACTAAGTGAGATTAAGCCAGAGATTAGATTAACTGATCAATTAATTAATTAAAATGTGTTAGGGAGATTAAGTCGGGGATGAGATTAACTGATTAATTAATTGATTAAATTAGTGGGGAAGAAGAAGCCTTTATGTGCCATTGGGCCCCCCACTGAGATGCTGCGGTAGCTGGACTTTCTCTCAAAACAAGTGATGACAAAATTTTGATGTTATTTAATGTTATAAGGAAGCAATTTCTAGCGGTAATAACAATAGCAAGAGTGATAACTTTGTCTCTACCCAATGTAGATGTCTAGATGCAACTTAAGAGGAATTTTGCTTCATGACTTTAGTTTTCAGCTCCTCTCTCACTGGGGAGGGGGGAGGAGTGGTGAAAATATTAAATAATGGAGAAATACCAAGTTATTTAGGAAGTAGCCAAAATTCCAAGTTTTATTGTGACTGGTAATCGTATCATTCATGTTGTGGCCAGTGTAATCGAGGAAATTTAATTTTCGAAATTGAAAGTATTAACTATGTATATTGTGGTCTATTAACTTTTGTTTATTATGTTTTTCCCTGAATTTGGGCAATGATTAATGAATGCTCCGAAGTTTCCCTTGAATCCCAATGCAAACATAGTTAGGTATATAATTTTGAAAACCAGAAGTCATTTGTTTGATTCATGTGCTTCTGACTCTTTGATATCCTTAAATATATATATATATATATATAAATGATGCCTGTATAGCTTAAGATCTAAATATCATTCTTTAGTTTTCACTGATTTTCTTTGACTTGCTATTCTCTAAATGTAACTAGACATTCAATTGCCGTAAAGGGAGGGCATATCTTTTCAACAGCGTGTAAGTTCTCTATAATGCTCTCTTTTGCTGCTTTTTTATTTATTTATTTATTTATTTATTTGCTTCAGGCACTGTTACAGAAGCAGTGAATGACGAAAGTTCCTTTTCCTATTTTTTCTTGTTTTTGTGGAAATGAATGAAACTTTGGGCAGGCGGCAAGCATAACCTGTAGGCTTGTTCTTGAATCTCTTAGGAGACGTTTGGTTCATAGATTAGAATAATGTGATTAGAATTATTTTCGATTTACGTGTATTTTTTGTGAGAGAAAACACTGTAGCGAACCATGAACCATGATTCAAATCATAGTTTGAATCCTCAAACCAAATATCTCCTTATGGTCTAAGAGTTTTGGCTTAAGTATAATCAATGATGTAAAAAAGCCGGTTCTTTAATTCATAGATTTTCAGCGCTTTTGCCTCCCAAACATTTTGGCTTTTGGCAACTTGCCACTTAAACTTCTAATTTTGACAATTTGCCCCCCAAACCTTCTAAACGTTTGCAATGTGCCCCATTTTCTGAACTTCCTAGTAAATTAAGGATTTGAATTTGGAAGATTTGCCTAAGGGTTTGAACTAGATTTGTAAATCTTTTGTTGAGACGTGAGATTTTCCTTCCTCACAGTAAGCACACATGGTCAACGATGCTAAAACCTAACTAACATGTTTCTTATTCTAAGCTATGGAGGTTTTATGCAGGATTAATGTAATGATGGGGCCTCAGGAGGAGAGGTTAATGCTTTCTGGTTTGCATACCGTAGAAGATATCTATTGCTGTTGCTGTGGACAGATTCTTGGCTGGAAATATGTAAGCTTTTACTCTTCCTCAATCTGTTCAGTTTTAGTTGCGTACATGGGTCGAAATATTTCTTGGAATCGATTCATGCTATACAAATTGATGGCACAAAATAAATATCTCTTGGGCTATAGATGATTGATGATCTGGTTAATGCAGTGTATTATTTCTGCTCTGATTGCATGTCGGCTCATCCATAACCCAAATAAATCTCATTTCATTTATTCTTAGATGTTAATTTGATTTTCAGTTACTTCCAATATTGAACAAGCGTTGTGATTTGCATCTCATTTTATTCATTCTTTGATGTTAATTTGATTTTCAGTTGGGAAATTTGATTTTCAGTTACTTCCCATATTGAATAAGGGTTGCTATTTTGGATTACAATAGGTAATTGCACATGACAAAGACCAAAAATACAAGGAAGGGAAATTTGTGCTAGAGAGGTAAATCAATATTTAAGAGATATTTTCATTTTTCTGTACGTTTACTCTAGTATTGTTATGGTTAATGCATGTTTAAAAAAATAACAGGTGGAGGATAGATGAGGACGCTGATGACGAATTGAATCTGGATGCTCGTCCTGGTTCAAGTGATGCGGAAAATATTTAGGAAGTTATTGTTTAAAAAAAAAAAATGCTTGAAACCTTATTAGTAATAATCAGAAGGTACAAATAAAAATGCTTGAAACCTTATTAGTAATAATCAGAAGGTACAAATAAAAATGCTTGAAACCTTATTAGTAAAAATGCTTGAAACCTGGCAACTATATATTGATATATAATCAGAAGGTACAAAAGGAGATAATATCTAATTCGAGTGGTTATTTATGCATAATCCAAAAAGGAAAAAACTCTTGAGCACCTAAATGGTGCATTAATGTAGGAAAGTCTTTCTAGTGGTGAGCATTACAAGGAACATACATTTTGCATTGACTTGGTAAGCTCGTAATAAAGCAAGTTTAGGGTACTAAACTTTAAAGTATCATAATCAGATTTGTTTGGTTCGTAAATGACATAATAATTAAATACAAGCTTGCCAAGAAATGTGTTTAATTCAACTTTACCGGACAACTTTTCCAAGGGTGATTAGCCTATATAGTATTCCCTTTTTAAGCATTTAAGGTGAAGCCTAGGAACGCTTTACAGTTTTAGGCCCCAATATCTTATAATAGAACCTGAGGAATTGCTTGAGCGAATGCTGCTAATTATACCTAAATTTGATCTCTCAAGCGGGCACATTGGTTGGATTGTTGACTCTCTTGTGTGCTCAGGACAATGATTCTTTAACCCTAGAAACAAAATTTGACTTTTGTTGATCGAACTTGTAACTTGATTGGACATGACCGCAAATGAAAATAGGTTACTAGCAAATGGATCCTTGGGAAAAATTGATATGATAATTGATCATCATTACTTGATGGACATGGAAAGAACATTTGAACCTATACTCATGAGTTGTGGTGTTTTTTCTTAACCCCATTGTAATTTTTTTAGGTTTCGTTCATTTCATCAATTTGAATTTTTAATTTCAGTTTTGTTATAGTTAAAAGTTATCACAAAAAATTACATCTAACTTTTTCTTATAGTGAAAAGTTATTACATAAAATCACATTTTAGTTTGAATTAAAAATTTAAATCCGCAAACTGAACAGGTCTAAATGACAAGCTGTTTGTGGCGCTTAATAATTATACAATCGGCTCAAAAGATGTAAACCCAAAAGAGCAAAAAAAAAAAAAAAAAAAAAAACATTTCTTCGTTAATGTTAGTATCAAAGGTAAGATCTGGTGCGGAGTAAAGTTGATTGAGCCGTCCAAGATGGTTTTCTCAAAATAATTATTTTAAAATATTAGGAGACGTTTGGTTCATAAATTAAAATCATGAGATTAAAATTATTTTTGATTTATGTGTATTTTTTATGAGAGAAAATATAATAATGAATCACGAATCATTATTCGAATTGGAGTACGAATCTCTCAACCAAACAACTCCTTAGTTTTAAAATAATGAAACGTCCTAGTTTCTTATTTGACCTAATTAATATGTAACTAGAGTTGTTACGTGGGGAACCAATCCACTATCCATCAAGGAGAAACCATCATGTTTTCATTTCATGTTTTAACTTCTTTTGGGCAGATGACATGTACTTGGAAGTTTTAAGATAACAAAAAATTTGTTTTAACGCTATCTAAAGTCTTTGGTACAGCTTTGATGGCAATAGGCCCAAAGAAACAGCGGGTAAAAATAGATGGCTACCCTCCAACACCTTCACTCTGTCATTATTCATTTATGAACACAACAAATAGCTGTTCCTGCGCAGCTCTGCAGCAGGTAATGCACGAGCAGTCATTATATATAAATATATATATATATATATATATAGACACACACACACATGCACATATTTATATGCAACAGGGTTTAAATATTTTATTCTGTAAATAACATGGTCGTATAATGTGGGCTAATGATACATACATTATGTATAAACACTAGAGCTGATTGGAATTTAAAAAATGATTTGCACATTCGATACACTAATTAAAAAATTATAAACGTTCGACGATTACTATAAGACTCAAAAGATTAGAAAACGATTTACCACGTTTTAATTTTTATCCATTTAGAATTAATAAGAAAAGGAAAGGAAGAATGAAACTAGGAGTGGCAATTCGTGTCACGCTAGTGTTCGTGTCGTATTTTAGTCTTTTATTTTTAAATTTACAGTCAACTTAAACACGACTGGTGACACAAATTTTTTTAAAAACTATAACATGAACACAACACGACCACTTTATCAGTTGACACAATACGACACGAAAATGACTCACGAACTTAAAATTGACACGAAAATTATATATTTTTCTTTAATTTTTTACATATTAAAAATAACTTAAATTCATAACACGCTAACATACTATAATATCCATCAAAATTAAGTAAATAATAATATAATTATGATGATATCATAAATTCATAATAAAATTAAAAATATATAATGAAAAATATATATTTTTTAATTTTTTATAAATTTCGTATCGTGTTTAAATTAAATAAATTTAACTTAAAATTAATTCATATTTTTTTAACAATTTCAAATCAATTTAATTCTAATTCAACTATCTTCTTTTTTTTTTTTTTATCAACCATAAATGGTGAAATTTATATCATTTTAAAATCGCGTTGTCTAACTCATATTGTCGGCTTTAAATGAAACTGTGGTTCCAAATGGAGTAGGCTGCAATTACTGCACATAATAGAGTGATACAGATTGGGGCCAAAGACAATGAACTTTAAGGAAAAAGCCCTCCTTACACGTTGACGAATCTCCATTCGCCACGTGCCTATGCCATTCCATACCCGGTCAAACTCTATCATCCACCGTAGACTTTTAAAGGTTCTAACATCATTAATCATATGGGTTGGTCACACACATTTGTCACTCATCCTAATCATGCGATTCATGCCCCCCAACTAGACGACCGTCAACCACTGACGGCGTCGTAGACGGAGCGCCGTCACCGCCGCCGCCGTCATCGAAACAGTCGTTGTAAGACACGTCGGTCATGGACCATGCCAAACCAAACCCAAACCTAGAAAAGCTTTTTTTTTTTTTTTTTTTTTTAAAGAAATTGAATATGTTTGTTTATTTATTATAATGTAAAATTCAATTTGTTACGTTTTTGTGTGTGTGTGTGTGACAGTGCGTGTCTGGGGGAGTGTGGTGTGTAACGTTGGAGAGAGACATCGCCGTGACGCCTCTGCTGCCGACAGATTCGCTCGCTCGCGTGGCGGGTCCCGCCCATTTTCAGCTGCAGACAGTAGTCACCAGTCTGATCACCGGATACTGACACGTGACGCACGTGGGTCCCACTCTTTCACAGAATTGTTAATTTTTAACTCCCCAAATACGTCTCGCCATTATTAATTCTCAAAAGTACCACGAAATCTCCTTTTCCTTTATTAAAAAAAAAAATTTGTGTTTGTAGAGTGTGGGGACCATCAAGAGAGAGAGAGAGGAGAGAGAGAAAGGTGGGTCAAATCGTTCGTTGAAATGACGGCCGGCAGGCGATGGCAGGCAGCGGCAGAGAGCTGGTAAGGACTGAGTTTGCTGACGTCATTATTAGGTGATTTCTGTAAGGAACCTCTCTGCCATTGCGTGTCTTGTTGCGTTTTCCTCCCCCCCTCCTTTTTTTTTTTTTATTTGTTACTTTTTCATTATTCACCGACTTTTTCATTTTCATTTTTTTCTTTTTAAAATGGCAATTGCCTTTGCTGGGATTTTGTGAGTTTCGCTTTCTCTGACAAATAGATTTCCATTCCCCACAAATTTTTTTTGGATTTTTCTCATTACCCCCCACAAACGTCCCCTCCCTTTTCTCTTTTGGATTATATTCTTCCTTTTCTTAAGAATAACAAGGTTCAATCACACGTCTTTATAATATTTTAAAAATATTTTGCATAATTAATCATTCCTGTCACGCCTCTCCTCTTTTGTTATTTTGTTATGACAATTATTTTAGTGATTTTTCATGTGCTAATCTACCACTATTAATAAATGTTTTAATATGTCGCTTTACTTTACAATATGATATTTGCTTTCATGCTTCACTTGAAAACGACAACAAATTTTAATTGTTCACCTTTTATTACGAGATTTTTCGGAACAAAACAGCCATCCTAGAAGTGCTAGAAGGAAAGATGAGGTTGACCAACAGATAATAGCCGCCTCGCTCCACTAAACATATTGTGTGTGTGTGTATATATATATATATATTGCTAATCAAACATATTGTATATTTTATTCACCAATCTTTTTCATTTCATCGGCGGATTTCAAAAATCAAAGCTTTGGAGTAGATTGCAATCTTTTGGACACTTTCATAAGGCACCAATTAAAGGCTATTATGACAATGCACATAATTATATATATATTTAGCACCACATAAATACACAAAGCGACGTATGGACAACCGTGAAATTGCAAAATGACCACCAACAAAACCCCATCATTATCCTCTCCCGGATTTCCTCTTTTGTCTAGTGGATGTTGGAGCTACAAAGATGTGGGCAAGTTTATAGGTATCTTTCTCTACAGGTCCTATTCTATTATCTATAGACCTCCTAAATGGTCGCTTTGTAAAATCAAAAGCCCCTAGACTTTTATGTAAATACCGTTCACCATCCTGCCGGTTTTTTTGACTAAAACTTTCGTGAGGAAATTAGCTTAATCTTTCAAATAAAATTTGAAAAACAAGTTCATAGTCTACTAGTACTATAGTTTTGGATCATCCTATATTTATTGTTTTTTTATTTTAATTATATAATTTGATAGGTTCAGAACTATATAATAGCAGTGGGGCAAATGTACATTATTAATTGGATGTTTTTCTGTACTCTTATAGTAAATTTTCCAAAAAGGACAAAAAAAAAAAAAAAAAAAAAAAAAAAAAAAAAAAAAGGCCTACCTGTTTCCAATGTCGCAGCTGAAAAAAAGGAAGTCACTGAATGATAAAGGGTTAGTTGGCTCTATTTAATGGAAATTTGTGAAGCCCGCAAAAAAAAAAAAAAAAAAAAAAAAAAAAAGGACTGCCTATGAAAATTTGCAAAAAGGAAAGCAATTAAATGAACGAAACGAGTAGGGGGTACAGGATTTTGTCAACTTAGGCTAAACTTTCTTTTCTGTTGTTTTGAAAATTTTGGGAGAATTTTCACATGGCAATGAATAACCTCACATGCCAATTTCCTTCCATCACCACTTACACTTTATCAGAAAATTAACCTGATTTTGCACAAAACAATAGTCAATGGGGGTGGTTTTTCGCTGGTCCCCTTTTTACCATAAAAATAAAATCCTTACCAAATCTATCTAAAAAAAAAAAAAAAGTAGTTCATTTCCACCGGCGTAAAAACTTATTAAGTGGGGGCACATGACATGCACACACATACTCGCACACTTGGGATGTCAAATGCAAAGCATGTTTCTTAGACAAAAAAGAAAAAAAGAAAAAAAAAAAAGCAAAGTATGTTTAGTATTTTATTTATCTAATCTAACACTAATTTCTTCTCTCTTTCTAAACTCTCACCTCAACGAGTGATATAGACTAAAAGAGAAAGCGACACATGGATAATATACTTTAGCTTCTTTTTACTTTTATTTTTTAGATTTTTTTCCACTAAAGTAGCATATATGACGTCCTCAAAGAAAGCAGCTTATCCGATTATATAATTACAAAATGGGAGACCCACCACAGCCTTCGGACCCATATGACACTACTAATTAATTAATTTATATGTATGACTGCCTTCACTTCACTTTCCATTGCCCCAAAAAACACCACCTCTATCATATTGAGCAATATTTTCGATTAATTCGAATTAAAATTTGATATTTTTTAAAAAAAATTAATTATAATAAAAAAAATTAAATATTATATTTTTTAAAAAATTTTAACCGTAAAAATTTAAAATGAAAACTCGAATTAATAAAATATAAAATGAAGCGTTAATTAAAAAAGTGATGAACTGAAATTATGCCGTTTGAAAGGGTGGAAAATGTTCTTTCACAAATCACAAGGGCCTAAAATCAAATTAACAGGAGATCAAGGACAGTAAAAAAAAAAAAGTTGGAATTTCTCCGACAAAACATAACCCTCAGCTGGAAAAGAAACAAGAGAAATGAATGAAATATCAACTGTGAACTAGTTTTTAGTAGTGCGGTAAAATCCAGAAAATGTTTGATTTGATGGGGGATGGGGCATGGCATTCCCAAACAAAGACGACAAGGGAAGGGCATATGCGCGAAACTGAAAAAAAAATGTTGTTTTGCATGAGGCGCACGCGCTTTAAATTGCGACTGGGTCTACTTCATCGCATGGGAATTTTTTTTTTTTTTTTTTTTTTCATACGCTGAGAAAAATTAATATGTCTACTGCACTAAAAAGGGTATTTGCCATTATGCCTATGTTATCCACACGCTTGCTCCCGCAGCTCGCAGTCCCACTCTCCCATGACAAATAAATAATATTAACTCTCTTTCCTTATTTTTCATTTTTTTTTCTTTCTTCATTTTTCAGTCATTATCCAGTACAAAGATCACTCTCAGTAAACCGGCGCGTGCACTACAAAGCCGATTCAGGCGTGATCGACGGCGAAATATGTTTTAGTGACCAAGAAATGAATCAATACTTTTCACAAGCAAAATGCATGAAAACCTAAAACAAAAGAAACGAAGAGAAAATTTAAAAAAAAAACCATTATATTTACACAAGCCTCTCCACTTTTAAAAATTAGGAAGATATACACCATAAATATCGGCTTCTTCAAATTCCTCGGAACATCACAAAAACTACCTAAGTACGAGGGAAGTACTAGAAGAAAAAAAAAGGTGGATCGAGAAAAATGAAAAATGAAAAATAAAAAAAGAGCGTGAGATAATTAGCAGAGAAGAAACGACGCCGTAAACTGCCCTCACGATGAAACCACCATTTTTCTCGATCTCTCTCATTCACAGCCATAACGGCGGAGGCTCGTTGAGATCAATGGGGCAGCCCAGACGCACCCGTCCCAGCAGCCGCGACGCACCAGTCCCAAAAACGACGTCGCACCGGGAACGTCGGGAGCCGAATATCCATTAGCCGCGCCGCCAACGCCGAGAGAGGCAGATAATGCCGGAGCTTCGCGCTTGACCGGAATCGGCTCGGCGGCGCCGGCGCAGCAAGAGACGTTCTTCAAGACGCCGGTGTGGAGAAACTCGCCGAGAACGAGGCGGCTGGCGGGGGAAGTCCAGTGAGCGGCGGAAGAAGGCAGGTTGAGGTCGAGCGAGAGGCCGGCGGTGACCGGAGCAGGGAAGTTGGTCTTGGCCTTGGCGCCGCGGAGGGACCTGGCGGCGCCATCGTAGGCGAGTGCGGCCTCCTCCGGCGTGTCGAAGGTGCCGAGCCAAACCCTCGTCTTCTTCCATGGGTCTCTTATCTCCGCCGCGTACCTGCCCCACGGCCTCTTTCTTACTCCCCTGTAGTGGCCCTCGCGAGACGATCCCGACGACGAAGACGCCATGAAAACACTAGAAAGAGAAGAGAGCAAGTTCAGCAAGTAATGAGTATTCTTCTCTTTGGAAAGTTAGGATATGTTTGGGTTGAGTGTGGGTATTAAGAAAAAAAAGTGTAGGGACCCACTCAGTCACCCGTAATCGTCGGCTGGACGGCACGGCCTTTTCGTTTATATAGAGGGAGAAAAAGCCAAGGGAAAAAAAATACATAAAAGGCAAGAAGAAAATCTCAGCGTCGGATAAGTTTGGGTGTGATCGGACGGTGGAGAGGGGAGTACACGTGAGACAAAAGTGGGGCCCAGGAGAGGAAAGAAGAAAACAGAGCCGCCGCCTGATGAGACGTGTGCGCAGAGATTGGGAGGGAACTGTCATGTGACTAGTCTCTACTCTCCGCGCCGTGGGGGTGACGTAAGCCCTACTACTTTTGTACGGCACGGCTGAGCGGCGCCTGCCATATTTAAAATAACAGTATTACTTTTTTTTTTTTTTGCTTTCATTTTCTTTTTTCAGTTGAAAAGAGAAAATTAAAATATTATTCGATGAAAGCGACAGGTGGAGAGGGTTTGGGGGGTACGTGGCGAGAGACGAGTGGAAGTGGAGATGTTGGTGGTTTTGGGGAGATGTCAGAGAGAGCCCCACGTGGAGGGTACGTTGGAGGTGTCTGCGTTGCAGGAGACAAGGGCCGAGTTTGGGCCTGGGGGCCTCTTCTTGTTCTCGGGACTCGGATTAATTGGGCCTCTTTTATTTTTTATTTTATTATTTATTTATTTATTTATTTATTTATTTAATGTGGTTGGCGTCTTTGACATATTTTGATTGGGGTGGGGAAGGAAAGGAGAAAACGGTGGTCCACATCGTTTAGGAACCGAAAGGTTTAATACGCAAAAACAGAGATGGTATTTTTATGGTAAAAACTTACAAAGAATACAGAAAATAAAAAAACTGTACGGCTTATGGGGTAACGGTGACGGTGGAAATGAGTGACGTTTGTGTGTGTGTGTGTGTGTTGAATGACTGAAGCTTGGCTTTGCTGCTGCCTGCACTGACCAGACACGTCTTCACGTCACGTGAACATTATTTTTTATTTCCTTTCTGAATTTTCTTTTTTCATTTTTGTTCTTTCTGTCCCTTTCTTTTTTCGTTTATTATTTTACGTATGACGTTTAAGGGCGTGATTATTTGCAGAGATAATATTTTTTATATAAATATAAATATAATTATTTTATTATAGTATTTTTTTAAATACATAATTTGAGTTGTGTAAATGAATATTTTAAGTAGGTTTTGGTAAATTTCTTATTAAAATAAATCAAATTTGAGAACCCAATTTTACAAAACAACACGTTCCTCTTGTTCTCTCATGCGGGAAATATATATATATATATATATATATTTGAGTAGACACGCGGGAAATATTTTCTTCCGAAAAAGTTAAAATGTAAAATAAGAGGAAAGTGTGTAAAGAGTATCTTACTGATACCGTCATATTTTAGTCAAATGTTATTAATCATTAGATATGCACTTCACTTACTTTGATATGGTTTTTTATTATATGTTGTATATCACAAAAATATTCGTTCCCGTCTAAATTTTCATGTTCCCAGCAAAAGAAGTTGTTTACAGTCTACAAGGAGAGACATCTTGCTTTTCACCATTTCTTCTTTATTTATTTATTTATTTATTTTTGTAGAGTATGACCCCAACTTCTTATTGTGTATTAACTTCTACTTTCAAAAAGATCAGCAAAAACTTCTACTTTCAAAAAGTGCAAAGTATTGGGAATTTCGCCGGAAGTAACGAAAAGCAAAGGAAGATTCGGATAAAATATGCCATGATTTTGGGGGGAAAGAAACATAGAATTGTCCAAGAACTACAAACAGAACCATGGAAAATGTGTTCTTCGAATATTATATCTTGTCGTACTCTTATGACAGAAAGAATATTAAGTTACAAAACAACAAAGCAGACTTAATATAAGCAGTGAAAAAGTATCATGAGTAGCTAAGGTTTTTACATTGGAGATAATATAAACTATGATTATCCCACAAGGAACTTGAATACTTTTTGCTTGCATCCTGTTTCTAAAGCCTTCAATCTAAGGGCAAGGATAAAAAGACTAATACAGAAGGATGAAAGTTTCAAGAAAATTCTAACTTCTATCAGCATCAACTCTTTTTTACATATTAGAACCTTTCTTTGCCAAAAGTAAAAGAAGAAAGAATGAATTGGAGCAATGTACAAGATTTGTGTCTTTCCAGCGAATGGGCACTAAAGGAAGGATGTGACTATCTGATCTTCTCAGAACTGACTCTCTTGCATCTTTAAGCGCTATTGAAGATAAACGGGAGCTCTGGAGGAACCAAAAACCGGAGAGTTTTGAAGTTTTTTGGCCTTGGTGGGGGATCTTTTGCAATAAATGGTGTTTAGATCATGAAAGCAGGCTAGGACCATTTTCAGCGGCAGTCCGAGCATTTCCGTGATTATGATGCCTGGTCATCTGGATGTCACGTGATAAATGAGTCCTTGCCTTTGCGTATGGAGCATCTCTTGCTGCAATAAGGTGGTAGACTATCAGTGTTCATTTTATGTGGAAGAGCATTAACGATTTCTATACTTCATTAAAGGGAAGCTTGGAAATGGTGTGCTTCCAGTTCTTATATCTAATTATCATACAACAAAGCACACACTTTTCCCAACATTTGATGGTAGCAGCACCATGGCTAAGGGGTCTATGTCTTTTATGAGTTCATTTCAATGTCCATGACCAAGGGATCTATGTCTTATGAGTTCGATTTTAATGTTGTTACCTGCAATTTGCTGTGCTCGGAGGATATTCTGCCGCCTTTTCCAGCAACATATTGAAAAGATAACAAGGAGCAGGAACAACACAAGCGAGCCCAGAGCAATACCAACCTTTGCACCAGCCGTGAGATGAGGCCCACATGAAGGAAGTCCGGGTATGCCACAGAGACCCGAATTATCAGTAAAACTGCATACAGAGAATTATGAAACATGTAGTTGACTTAATACCAAATGTTTGTCAGAAACGGAAATACAAGCATGTAAATAGCGTAAATATTTTCAGCTGGTGCTTCTCTTTGAGACCCCAAATATATCAAGATTAATACAAATGAAATCATACTTGAAGCTAGCTCTGTGCAAAAGTCTTCCTCCTAAAGCAGCAGGGACTTTCCCGGAGAGAGAATTGCTGTTTAGATTCCTGCATCATGATTTATTGCAGTTTAAGCTCGATTTTTTTTTCTATGAACTATAATTTCATTAGTTAATGAGATGCTCAATGTGTCTTACAATCTCCTTAACGACGTCAATTGTCCAAGACTTTCAGGAACTGACCCATTGAATAAGTTGTAGGACAGGTCCCTGCCATTTGAGCATTCATGCGTTCAAGTATCAAATTATTCAAGAAAAAGGAAATTAAGCCATCAACCGTTAAAGGATATCAAGTGTGCTTCTAGACTTTGGCTTATAATGATGTATCATTTTACAAAATGAAATAATCACGTAATGTGATGGGAAAACAGAAACGTAAAACTAGCAAAAGATCTCTTTCAAGGCAAACACATAATGTACTAAAGATCTTTAGTAAAATCTTTAGCTAAAGATCTCTAGTAAAATCTTTAGCTAAAGATCTCTTGCTAATCACATAATGTACTAGCATGATGGCGTGATTAAAACTAGCATATGTAGAGTTGAAAATCTCTTTCAAGGGAAAAAAAGAGAGAAAAGAAAAAGGAGTTCAATACCATAAAAGTACCAAACAATTAACAGGAAAATATTATAATATATTAAGATATTAAAATATATTAATTTGTAAGCTGCACTCACAGTACTTCTAAGCTTGTAACGGTTCCAAGAGAGGATGGAATGACACCATGAATGCTGTTTCCACTCAAGTTACTGCAAGTGCACAAGTGAGAGAACAAAAAATAAGAACGGCAAATTTATAAATGCTTTAAGTCATTAAAAGAAGAACTTGCTAAATGTTTCATTTAGAGAAATAAGAGCAACAAGCTACGTACAACAAAATCAAGATTGTTTACTACCATGTAATTATTCACAAGAATTGGGTTGTTTGATTGCATGGATATGTTATGTCTTTGCGTAAAAAATATGAAATAAAAAACCATATTCTAAAACTTATTAATCCAAAATGAGGCCTGAGAGACTCACATGCTCTGTAGGTGCCGAAGTCTAGATATCTCATTAGGAACGATTCCTTTAAGACCTTGGTTATCAAGTCCACTGCTAGGTAGGGAAAAAAAAATATATTAATTACTGGAAAACATTGACGTAATAATAAAAGAATCACCACCCTAAACACAAAACAATGATATAAATTAGACAATGTTTTCCTTGAAAAACAAAAGACAACATGTTAAAGCGCAATAAGTCCAACTATGCCCCACGTGAAATTTCTCCACGGATAAAAAAATACAGAAACTTAACGACAATAAGATATAAATAGGATAAATAAGCAAAAAAAAGATGTATTAGATGACATGTTTGAAATGCACGAAAATATAAACCAAATGAGTAAAAAGGTCTTGGAAATATTTCTTTCCACTAAGATATGAAATAAACCGAAATCATAGTAGCTTTGATAGTACTAACGTCATTTTATCCTAGATGAATTCTCCAGTGCATTTATTGCTTTTATAAAAGGGAAAGAAAAAAAGGATAAATAGGAACATTGGGATGCCTCACATACAAGTTTAAATGGATCTCAATCTGCTAGCAAAGTTGAGAAAGAGTAAAGGGCAACTGGGATGGGGCAGAGAGGTTTTGCTATAGCTAGTTAATCAAGGGGTTTGAGTTTGGTTTTAGAATGAAAGGTTGTGGATGAGAATGCAAGATACTAAATATACTTAGGAAACTTGGGTTAAAAAGGGTAATTGGCTTTTTCAAGGAAAGTTCAAACACAATAAACTGAATCTAAACTGAATCGCATGGTGAGACATTAGGAAGCACATACATAGGTTGGCCAATGTCATTTTGGACACAACTGCTATAAATTTGCAGATAGGTTACAGTTTTTAAGTCGGTAAGACAATAATGACATTGAGAGGACTGCTTTCATGGTTGCTAACATACTGCTTCTACTAAACTTAATGGTTCAAGTAAGATCGAAAAACGATTGCATATAATGTAATTAAAGCAATTCATTAGTAATACAACTTCCTTATGACAACATAAAATGTTGATGTGAGGTTAGGTTAGGTTTTTATCCACCGAAGTGTGAACAATTCAAAATTCAGGGGGCAAAGTAAGAGTTTTTAGAGTTTGGGAGGCAAATTGGGAATGAGCCTAAAGTTCAGGGGGCACCAGTGATAATAATTCTTTTATCTAATTTCCATTTTGTAACTGAAATATGAGAAGTAGACAACATTACACTTATTTATTTGAGCAAAAATGACACTTTTAACATTTATAACTTTCTCTATATGAAACTCATGAAAGTAAGAGAATGTGAGATAAAAGGCAATTTCTGAAGATAATATAATTGAGATGATGAAAATTTAAAATGTAAAAAGAACGTACATTCCATCGATCACCCATTTATTGTTAGTTTTGTCGTACTGACAATCAGCACCACTCCAGGGATGTTGAGGCGGAACACATGGATCACCATTCCAGCCTAATCGAACTGGGAGCCCCAATGCTTTCTTCAATGCTTGTAAAGCCCTAACTGAAAAATAAAAGACAAGAATTTAATAGTAGTTTTTATTGTTTAACATTAAAATTCCATTCGTTATCTTTTCGACAAAAATTGTTACAAACACTTAATTAAAATAGTCTATTATTACAGCTGATGCATTCATGGATGTTTTAAAAAGAAACAATATTACAAAAAGCATATCTAACAGGAAAGACCATGATCAAAGCAGGTACTTTTTTAAAACTTGACTATTTGATAGTTGGATGAGCACAAACTGACAGAGGACGCAGTTTATGCTACGTAGAAAATAATATGTTTCAGAACGGGAAGAAACTACAAAAGGAAAAGGGTATTATAATTAAGAAAGGACGTCTTTATCTCATATCTAAAGGGTGCCAAAGCTGCCATGTGATTGACCCTTTAGCATTAATGCACTCATGGTCACCATAAATCTAACATTTCATGCATCAATGTTAAGTAAACAAATGAGTAAACGAATGAGATCAAGCCAGCATAAGCATGGAAATTATATGTAATTAATTGGACGTCGCGCCAGAAGTTGTTCCCATCTTAGAAGGAAAGCTATATGACATATGACATTTTGGAGGCAACGCTAACACATATTAACCCAAGCATACAATAGATATGCATGTTTACATATATGAGTATTAATGCAAGCATGCATAATTGAAAATACATATTGATACGCAGAGCAATTGTAAATTTGGAAATGCCTTATATGTATGAAGATATATGAGTAGCATATTTACCTTCCTCTACCAATGTTTTAGACTCAGCCATAATAATCTCAAAGACCTCGATTGCATTGATTATTGCATGACCACCTTTTTTGGGGTGCAAAGTTATTGTCAAACTCCTTCCATTCACAGCAACAGAAGTGTTGAGTACAAGAGCTGTATAACGATCCCCACTCATTTTAATAATATCAACATTTTCAAATTCAACGTGGCCATTTATTTGGATGTCAAAGACCCTTTGCCCTGCATTAGAGATTGACGTGTCAATCTCTGCAAAATGTAACCAAATGGAGTAGTTTCTATTGGGATCCACATCCATTGTATATTCTAAATCAGGTTGACTTTCGGTACTAACAATTGCTGACTTATAAATAGCTTCGGGGTAAAAGTTAGGTGACTTCGACGCCTGCTTAATACTAGTCTCAACAGATCTGGATCTATCAGAACCCTGGCTAAATGTTGTAATGGGATTCCAAAATCTATCACCACCCCAATTAGTCGCATTCAAATCCACACCGAACTTTGGCTTTCCAACACCACAATTCAATCTTGTCGCAGTCCTAAGGATTATTCCTTCACCCCATTGGGGACCATAATTGTATGCTTCATCATCAACTTGAAGAATTTCAAGTGACAGAATTGATGGATCCCCATGACCTGTGCTGTGAAAGCAGATAGAGGCTGTGCCATCTGTAAGAAATACAAAGGCTTCAGCAAACACTTGATCATCCAGATTGCTCCAACCAGATTTTAAAGAAGCAATCTGAGTTCCCTCAATAGAAATATCAAACAAAGGCTCATTATCGAAATTTGGCTGCGCAACCAATCCAAAGAAAATTCTCACTAGATAGTGTCCCTTTGGCACTCTGTTAATGTTGTAGCAATTTTCCGGGCCTGATGATAGAGGAAAATAACGAAGAGTTTTTAGCGGAGGACTTATGTAACTTGGACTTGTTGCATTGTATGGAATTCCTCCTGTGTAAGCAAAATCCTTAAACCATAAAGTATTCGTAGGTGGCGTACGGACATTTTGTCGTGCTCCGCAGCTTATCCGCATTACAAATGGTGCTGTATTTAAGTGACAAATAAGATAAGTTTCACTTTTGGACAAAACTTGATTAAGAGAGCAAACAGTGAAGTGCAAAATTAGAAATTTTATATAAAATCCTCAAAAAAGATGAAAAGGGAGCAAATAACATGAGATGAATTAAACTTTACAGTTCTAAACCTTAATCATACCCTACTGCTTTTACTAAAATGAAATGTAACTTGGTGCACATAATGTCCACACAAACTCGCCTTTTGCCTTAGAAAGTCATTGTACTTTACATTCTAAACTAGTTATAACGTGGAATCCATTGTTAGTACCTGAAATGAATGTGTTTCTGGACCAATAAATACGGCCATAAACATATTAGAGCCTTATTCTAAACTTCTAAAGCTTTTTCCGGTTTTCTAAATTTGAACTCTAGATCTCTCTTTCCTTCTCAATCAATTTCCGAAGAACCAAATGGATCGTTTGCTTTTAATAAAGTCTTTCACTAGCCAAAAAAAAAACCGAACAACCAAATGGACTCTCACTATCTCATTTTCTGTCTAATCCACTGAGAACCATTCTAAAAAAAATAAAAATAAAAACACTCCGAGACCTTACTTGCGAACTGGCTCTAAGATTCACATCTAATCTTACTTATTCCACATAAATCGCAGTGAAGATGTACTAAACATAAAATTCCACTACATTTACTCGGCCAAAATTTGATTAAATCAGCCGAACTTGTTCAGACCACTGATTCACAACAGAATTGCGCTCATTTACTTGTAAACCTCTAGCAATGACACTGAAAATCCACTTCCAACACATCGGAACTTTCTCGAACCAAAGTGTTCACAGTCAATTCGAAGAACAGAGACCAAAAAATGAAAAAGAAAAGGGGAAAAATGTCAGTGTAAGAAGCTCACCAGCTTTAGCTGAAACCGAAGGGAAAGCCAAGTGGAGAACCAGAAGCCATGGGAGAAGAAACCTCAGCATTGTGGCTGCCAAAAACCTCTACGCGCTTTTGCCTCTTTTTCTTCTCTCTTTGTGCTATAAGAACCTCGTCTTCATACTCTCTCTCTCTCACTCACTCTTTTTCTTTGCTTTTCTAGAGAGAGAAAGTGGAAAGAGAGTGAAATTGCGTCTGTTCTGGGACGTGTGTGCAATTAGTGCTAATTTATGCAGTAGGAATCAATTTTTCAAATTTAGTTGACTAGCGGAGGTTAGAAAGTATGTTCATGTACTGCTCATATCAATGGGGCTTGATGGAGATCATTAATCCGGCGGTTGATTATTTATTTCTTTTTATTTCTTATTTAAATATCGAAACAGTTCGCATTAATTGTTCGTGGTTGCCGTGGGTCGACACTTTGACGGCGGTGATTGATGGTTGGAAGGGTGGATGCACGGCATTGGTCATGTGGTTCTGGCACAGTGAACTACTGGCCCCTCGTTATTCTCTCGAGGGAAGTGGGTTGCAATTTCCAATTAATTTATTTTTAATTCCACGTAGATGTGCGTTTCGTTTGTGGAAGACAAAAGCCACGTGACGGAGAGGAGGAGGGGGAAAGTTCACGTGGAAGTATCATATTTACTGTGAATTGACGCAAATGACCTTTTTAGGTGTAAGTAAAGAGAGTACCATTTTGGTGTGGGGTTGTGACTAGAAACATGATCGGACGGCCGAGAACACTTAATCAACTTGTGGATTTGACTTTGGACGCGTTTTGACAATTTGACCTTTAACGTTTGACATACTTTTGAGCATGTATTGGTGCGCAATTATCGGGCTAGTTGTGCTTGTGTGACGTACGAGTACGACAGAGATGGGTGTTGTGTGACATAGAAGTTGAACTAATATTGACAATAAAAATATTAAATTGATAATTGAGGAGTATAAAAAATACGAGTAAGTTTTTTTTTTATAGAAAAATTTCATGTGTTATATCAAAATATAATTTAGTATCCTCTATTTTTAATAATTTTATATCGGTACCTTAATTTTTTTTAGTACCTCATGACAGTTTTTTAAGACACAAAAAGACAAAAGTACCATTTTTATTAATTTATAAAAAACTTTTTAAAAAATCTTAACCCTGCAATCAAGATTTTTGCTTTATGTTTGGGCCAGAATGAAATTTAACTGTTTAGTTACAGGTCTAAGATTTTTTAAAAAGTTTTTTTTATATTTAATAATAAGGATATTTTATCTTTTTGTGTCTAAAAAACTACCTAAAGATTCTAAAATAATATTTTCTAAAAAGTTTAGGTACGACGTGAAATTATTAAAAACAGAGAGTAGATATAACATACATTGTTAAAATAAAATTTTCCTTTTTTTTTCTTTTGCAGATGATATAACAATGAATTTTGTGATAAAGCAAGAAAAAATATACTACTGATGGGGCTTTTTTTTAAAGGGAGAATTGATAGGACCTTTTTAAGCATTATAATGGATTGTTATTATAATTGCACGAGACTAAAAAGAGGATGATAATTTTGTGATAAAGCATGAGAAAATACCATTAACGAAAAAGCATGAGAAAATATACTAGTAATAGATTTTTTTTTTTGAAAGGGTAGAAATATAGAAACTTGTTTTTAATCATTAAACTGAATTGTAATTGAATGAGATTAAAAATTGTGACAATAGCGAAATTTGCTTTAGACTATTAATATATATATATATATATATATATGATGATGATGATGATCGAAACTTGTTTTTAATCAAAAACTATGTTCTATCTAATGAAAAATGAAAATATTTATATTTTTAAATACGTTATCAAAGAGTCTCTTAATGATAATTGATGGAATTTGATTTGTGTTACCTACAATAAATTTAAATATGACTGAATTACCAAACTGCTTAGATTTTTTGCTAGTCAGCAAAGTGGTTAATTAGTTTAAATCAAACGGTAAGAGTAGGTATTGTTGTCCAAACAGACACAAACTTATGATGATTCCAAGTCTTACGCTAAAGAAACAAACAAGCAAAGACGCTAACAAAACAAAGAAATGAGGGCAAAACTCCAGTAAACGGGTGTGAGCAATTTAATAGTTTTAGTATGTATATGAGGAATAATCATGCATTAAGATTTAATTACTGTGTTATTATTTAAAACATATAAAAGCCTACAAAAGAAACTAATTAAAAAAAATTAAATTTTAGGGCAAGTATCCAAAAAAAAGAGGAAAAAGGGCCTTAAATGAAAGGGAAACAAAACCTTATGGAGTAATTAAAAAAAACTACTGTAACAACTAGTGTACTGTTCAGACGTTTTAATGAAGGATTGGCATTTCTATTATATAGATTATTGTTGTTATTATCATTATTATTATTGTTGTTATTATTGTGAATATCAATCGATAGTTTTAGGCTCCGTTTATTTTACCGATTTGAGTTTATAATTCGATTTTTACTACAGTAAAAAACTTTCAAAGACAATCACATCTAACTTTTTTGCTACAGTAAAAAAACTCTCATATAAAGTCACAACTCAATTAGAATTAAAAACTCGAATCGGCGAATTAAACGAGTCCTTAATCTTCAGCCAGGATCCCGATTATTTTTAAATATTAAAAACTCTTACTAAGTGCAAATCATATTTTTCTTTTTTTTTCCTTCCAAAAAAATCCTAATTTTCTCAATTTTGAACGAGCACAAAGACCCTTCTCCCAACCCAACCAGCCAAATTATTTGATTTAACGCATTTTAATAAGTTGTGTGACTATGTTTCCTTAACGGCACGAATGTGACTGTGAAAGAATTATTAGTGAAAAATTTTTAAATTTAAATTTTTTATAAGAGAAAAATACTATAATAAAATCAAAATTATGAATTTAGTTACATTTGTTAAACGGCTCTTAAAAGACTTCAGAATTTTATTATACCACAAAGTTTCTTCTTTTTAAAATAACTATAAAAATTAAAAGGTAATAGAGATAATAAATGATGTATACTTAAAAGTATCTCTAATGTAATGATATAATTGATGTGTCAATTACAAATTTAACATTTTAGTGTAAAAAATACTCTCTGATACAAATGTTATTTGTTGTGTTAAATTTCTCATGTGCTATGTTTTGTGATAAATTTATCACCAAGTATAGCATATGAAAAATTTGGTACTTGATTGTTATTGGTTGAAATGTTTACATTTTCATGTAATCATTGCAACTTTTTACATTTTATAATTATTTGATGTGAATTTCTCTCGTGTTTCCTCTTTTTTAGGAACACCGGTGTTTTTTATTTATCAGTCGTCAATTTGTCTTACCTTTTCAATCTGATTTGATTTTTGGGCGGATTTAATATAGATCTGGCGGCTGATAAACATGAAACATCAGTGTTTCTAAAAAAGAGAACACTAAAAAAAATCTCTTATTTTAAACATAAAAGTTTACTTTTACAACTTTCTAAACTTAATAATTATAGAAAAAATATATTTAACATTTCAAATAGCATTATGAATTTGAGTAAAAATGAAAATAACATATCATATCATACTTTTTGATAATAAATATATAATTAACATTAATATTTGCATTGAAAATGACCTAAAGGGTAGCGCACTCCCGCATGACATATAAATCACACGAAGTGAATTATCTATATACCTCGTCCATCAATGAGACTCAAATTCAAAATCTTATCAATAGCACGAACTACCTTACCAATTACCACCCCATCTAATGATCAGTGTCAATATACTACAAAGTTTAAAATACGACTGATGTTATCTAATATACTGCTCTACATAAGTTTATTTTTCGAATAATATTAAGTTTACCAAATTCTTCAAGGAAACGAGGTTGATTAATATCATTTGGCAATGTTGTTTATGATCATGAATCGGCTTGTTACTTCGCAGCCTTATATATGTATTTCTGGCGGTGACCGCTAGTATTTGATATTTGTGATTACAAATTAGTTGTCATAATATAGTTATATCTAGTACTATAAGCTTTATGTGAGATTGGATAACAAACTCTTTTCCCCCTCTCCAAACAGGAAAATAGTAGAAAGATACATGTCAAACCGATACCCAAAAAAGATCCAATTTATGGAAAGCTAGCATGTCAATTTCTTAGTTGGTCGGACCAAGATATAATTAAAATTTTTTATTTTTAAAACGAAAAATGACTTCTTTATATTGGATAATTTTATCTGTCTAATATACTTCCACTGACTGATAGAGTTAAAATTTAATTATTAAATATAGTTAAAATTACATTAGATTAAAAAAATACACAAAATAAACACTTTCTGATACAAATTTAATTGCTGAAAGTATAAAATTACTGATAATTCATTTGTTTTGATCCTATTAAAAAAATTCCCATCTACTTCATGAAACCTTTTTATGTCTTTATTTGTCTATAATTTGACTATTCTTATTATTATTTTCTAAACGTCTATAATTTTGAGTATTTGATAAGCTTTGTCTACACCTATGCGGTAAGAGACACAAAGCTTGTTTGATAAAAAGAAAAAAATGAATGGAAGAAGAGGGACGAGGGGATTAATAAAAAGATTTTAAAATCATAATTATTTAGCTGGAGAAAAAAAAAAAGTAAACGGATTGATGGATTTTCAAATCCTTCAAAGAACTCAAACGTTTGATCTCTCCAAGCTTCTAGAGAGTAGAGGAGGTAGGATTCTTTTTTCTTTTTCTATTTTATCCGGCTAAAATATGCCGATTTGCTGTTTTCTTTACTTCCTATTCTATTTTCTTCTTACAAAACGTAGCCTTTACACGGTTACATGCATTAGAGGATGAATTTATTCCTTGTTAATGCAAAATGACATTAAAATTATAATCTTATTCTTTTCTCAACTCAAATCAAAATTTAATAACATTATTATAATATTTTTCTCACATAAATAATTTAAATTGTGAAATAAACATGCTCTATATATAGTTAAATACAGCACAATTCATACAGTATTACATACCCCATTTAAAAATATTATAAAAAATGAGATAAAAAATTAATCAAGTAAAGATCCATTTAAAAATATTATAAAAAATGAGATAAAAAATTAATCAAGTAAAGATTACGACACTACGAATTATTTGAGGATGATAAGGTTATTTGCTTTT